GAGGGAGTGCGTGAGAGAGTGAGGGAGTGAGGGAGTGTTTAATCTATACTACTTTCAGGAATGAAATCCCATGTATTTCATTTGAAAGGCTATACGCACTACTAGTTAATTTGAAAAATAACACATTTTGTGGGGTTTCTTTCTCCTAATGTTAAGGGCAAAAATGTCTCCAGATCTTAGATCTTCTCAGAAAGCACCTTGCTGGTTTTCAGCGTGCCCCGTCTTGGTCACCCAACCTACTTGATGTGGCCTGCTCCTGACGTCGTAAGCTGCTCATCGTCGTCAGGATTGAATGTAACCTTAAAAACTTCCTGGGAAAAAGCTTTTGTCCGCAGTATGGGCTTCTCTTCTTTCCAGTTCCAGATGGTGAGGGTATGGTCAGGGCTGCTACCGACAGACGCCAACAAGTCGCCACGAGCATTGAAGTCCACCGAGGCATAGCCCAAGTCACACCCATCTGGAAGGATGAATGGGGCTCTGGTGAATAATGGAAATGGGCACTTCCTTTCAAATGTGTATTAACAAAATCATAGAGCGACACAGATATGTTGGCAGATTGGTAGGGTGGACTGAAAGAAGGAAGCCAGGAGGGAGGGTGGGAGAGAGGGAAGAAAGGAAGAAGCAAAGAGAGAATAAAGGAAGGCAAGATGGAAGGAGGCTATGTAAATCTTAAGTATTTCCCACTGGCTCTGGTCCTCTGGAGAACCCTGGCTGATAAATAATGTTCTAGCTTCAGAATTTTGTGAACCTTGACCAGGGATTATTTTAAAGGTTCTACTGAACTTACCTTGAAGGATCCTGTAGGGCCTCAGAGACGGATATTCATAGATGATGATATCTGGAGAGGACCCCTTTTCAGCTACGACAAAGTACGTTTTACTGGGGTGAACCTATACATAAAAATAAAATCTCACTAAAATATTCAAAGAAAGGTTTCCAGGTAAATAGTCGTCCTATCATATTACCTAAATAGAATGAGGTATTTAGCACCAGCTATTTTGTGGCTTTGTCTCTTGTTATTGTCCAGTCAGCTCTGTCTCATGGAAACCCTTTGTACAACAGAAGAAAACACTGCCCGGTCCTGGACCATCCTCACAATCATCCTTATAGCTGAGCCTATCGTTGCTGCCACTGTGTTCAATCGTGTGCTTGATAGTCTTCCTCTTTTTCACCGACCTTCTACTTTACCAAGCATGATGTCCTTTCCCAGGGACCGGTCTCTCCTGACCACATGTAAAAGTACAGGAGACAAAGCCTTGCCATCCTCCTTCCTAAGGAACCTTCTGGCTGGCTGTACTCCCTCCAATACGGATCTGTTTGTTCTTCTGGCAGGATGTGGTACTCTCAATAATCTTCGGCAGCACCACAACTCAAACGCATGGATTCTTCCTTGGTCTTCCATATTCAAGGTCCAACTATCGCATAATTAGGAGGTGTCTGAAAATATTAGGGTTTGAGTCAGGTGCACCTGGCATCCTCAAAGTGACATCTTTGTCCTTCAGCACATGGACAGCAGATCTGCCCAATGCAATACGTCACTAGATCTTCCGCACGGATGTGAATCCAAGCAAGCTGAAATCTGGGACAATTGCCATCTTTCCCCTGTTTACCATGATGTTGTAGATTGGCCCACTTGTGAGGACTTTTATTTTCTTTACATTGAGTTGTAATGCATACTGAAGACTACAGTACCTGATCTGTACCAGCAAGTGTGTCAAATCCCCCTAGCTTCTAGCAAACAAGGTTATGTTGTCTGCATATCACACTGGCTGATAATAAGTCTTCTTCCAATCTTGATGCCAAATTCTTCTCGAGGCTATCCATGATACACACAGTTGAATGCCTTTGCATGTTCAGTAAAGCACAAGTAAATCTCTTTCTGTTATTCTCTACTTTCAGACAAGATCCATCTGACTTCAGTAATAATATCCCTCAAGCTACATCCTCTTCTGAATCCGTATTTCTATTTCTGGCAGCTCTCTGTCAAAGAACTGCAACCATTTTTAAAATTATCTTCATCAGAATTGTACTGTGTGATATTGATGATGCCATTTGATAATTTCTGCATTCTATTGGCTCACCTTCCTTTGGAATGGCTTTAACTGTGTGTCTCTTCCAGTCAGCTGGCCAGGTAGCAGTCTCCCACATGTCTTGGCAGAGACAAGTGAGTGCTTCCAGTGCTTCATCACCTTGGTGAAGCATTTCTCTTGATATTTAGTCCATTCCTAGAGCCTTGTTTTTTTTGATACTGCCTTTAGTGCAGCTTGTACTTCTACCTTCAGTACCATTGATTCTTGATCACAGGCTATGATCTATTAAAATGTACCATACACAATACAATTAGGATCTAATATAATGCTTCATCTCGTGTACTTTGGGCATGTTTCCAGGAAGGAGCTACCCCTGGAGAAGGACAGCATGCTTTGTCAACAACAGAAAGAGAGAACGTTCCTGAATGAGATGTGCCCCAGTGGCTCCAACGATATACCAATAATTGTGAGGACGGAACACGCAGGGCAGTGTTTCATTCTGGTGTACATACGAGGAAGCTTCCAGAAGTTCATGGAACAATGGAATTAAAATATAATGGAATGTTTCCACAAACTCTTTGCAGCACCCTCATGGGGTTGCTATGATTTGGAACTGACTTGATCGTACCTACCAACCACAAAACAAGGCTGAAAAGTGGACATGTGATCCATGCTTGAAGAGGAGGATTATTCCACCTAAAAATTAGAACAATTCTCATTTTAAGTTTTATTTTCATTAAAACGGTCTAATTTCTAATTCTATATCTTTTGAAATTGCCATTAGAAGATCTAGAAGAGTGGTTTCTGTTGTTGTTGTTGCTGTTGTTGTTGGGTGTCGTCAAGCCGGTTCCAACTCATGGCAACCCAACTGAACAAAACACCGCCATGCCCTGCACCATTCTCACAAGTGTGCTTGTGATTTGAGCCCATTGTTACAGCCACTGTGTCAATCCATCTTGTTGAGAGACGTCATCATTGTCTCTGGCCCTCTACTTTACCAAGCACGGTGCCCTTCTCCAGGACCCGATCTCTCCTGACCACTTGTCCAAAGTACGCCAGGCTTTTGTCTATGTCAAAAATCACTTGGAGAGTTTGCTAAAACAAAGATTGTTAGCCCCACTCCCAGAGATCTGGATTCAATTGGGCTAGCTTCTGGCCAGAGAATCTACAGCTACCACTCTGAAGATTCCAGACGAGGTTAGTGCCGCTCAACTGGGATGTATGCTTTGAGAACCCCTGAACTGGACCCTGCATGTAAGTCAAGTCTATAGAAATTTGCCAGAGAGAGGCCTTTTCCAATGAGAAAGGGTTGGTTTAGTACGGTTATATGCTGAAAATGGAAACCCTGGGGAAACAAGAAAGAAGATGGCTTGTGGAGACAAGCCACCTAGGGAGGTGGAAGCAGCAGGCCCCAGATCACAGTGCAAGTCCTTCTGCCAACTGCTCTAAAATACTGAGGGTACAGCTCACCCCCTACTTCCCACACGCTGATTATATACTTATAGCTTATTGTGTGTCTATTTCATTATGATTTGAATAATTGTGCACATGCTATTCTCACTATTTTTGTGATGAAGTTTTCAGAATGCAGAAACCTGCATGTCCTCTCTGGGCTCCAGTTTCCTTATCTGAAAGTTGGAATATCGAGGTCACATAAGGGAATGCCATGGTTGTCATCATGGACTAGAACATGTCTTAGGAGAAAGACTGGCATGCACATCACGTGATCCCATGATACTGCTTGCCGTTGGCTGATAAAAGAAAAATCCATCAACACCAAAAGATGTTTTCCCCCCAAATGACTCAAGGCTGTCGTACCCCAATGACACCGATCCCTTCTCCACTGCAACTTCGCAGGTAGGTCTGCTTCTTGGTTCTCAAATCCACCAGGATCAGTTGGTTCCCACCTATGTACATCAGGGTATTGCTGTCCAGGAGTTGGAGATTGACCCGCTTCCTGCAGTCATAACCGAAGGAATGTCTGAAGGAAAGTTGTTAAGGAAAACAAGTGCAACGGGGTAACCGTCATAGGAACATGGAAATAAGTATAGATTTAAAATTCATCAAGAGACATCAAGTCCTGATAATGCAACAACACAGACGAGTTTTGCTGAACCAAATAAGTCATTATTCACAAAAGGACAAATATTGACCACAAAAGAACGTATGTGAATACCCAGAATTGGTACATGTATAGAGACTGAAGTATCTTAGTGGTTACCAGTGGTGAGGGACGGTGGGGAAATCATTGCTTAGAGGGACACGGAGTATCCAGGATGGGGATGCAATCATTTGACACGCTGCTTGTGAAAAACCAGCCATTGACAATGAGTGGGGGCACATTTCTCTACAGACACACACCTGGGTCTCCGTGAGGTAGACTCAACTCCACGGTAGTTGGTGCTTATCTCTGTTTTACATAATCCATGAGGTCTATGTCATTACCTAATGGTTACATTGAGAGAGCACTTCTCAGTCAATATATGACCCACACATTTAGATGGCACGACTTGGGCCTCATGGAGACTATCTGGGACGGCCACAGTCACTGGGCAAATGGAAACATGGACGGCCAGCTCCTTTTCTTTAAAGAGAAGGCTCTTTCCTCTATCACTGTTGCCCTTTTCTTCTTCTCCCTCTAATTTCTCTTTTCCTAAGTACCAGTCTAATACTTTAGAGAGCTAAGAGTGTGTCCATAATAAGAGTGGAAGTACATTACTCTGTCGTGGATGAAAGTTGGGGATCAGAGATATTACCATTTATCTAATCTACCTCCATTCTCCGGGACATGGCAGGGCACCCTTCTTCACGCTCAGACTAAAAATCTCTCAAACAGAATGGGCCAGATGGCTAACTTCCCAAACTCTAACCCCTCCATCAGAACCCACTTGAGGGCAGAGCCTGCTTCTTGCTTATATCTATTTTCCCAGAGCACCCAGCGCAGTATCTAAGCCTAACAGGGGTCAATGGGTGCTTGCTGAATTAATTAACTAGTGTATAACTAGCTTCTGATCTTTCCTTCCCAACCCCAAAGGATAGTGGTAAGCCCTGAGCAGAGAATGTTTAAAAAAAAAGAAAAGAAAAAGATGTTTGGGTGTACTTTCAAGACCCTTCCATTTTACCTCTAGTATGTTCTTTGAAACTTCCTTCCAGGGACTCCCAACCCTCACCCCAAGCTACCTGGGTCTCTGTTTTAAAGATGTGCATAAGCACTTCCCTAACTTCTGTTTACTGTCTTTTGGAAGTCCTGCTATTTTATCATTGGTACTTTAATTTTTTTTTCTTTTTTCTTTTTTTGCTAAAACAGACTTGTGGGGTTAAGGGTAAGAGGGAACCCCACAAAACATCACAGGTTTGGTAGGCGCAATTGTACAGCGATAATAAGTAGAGATTATAGTAAAGTCATAGAGAGCATGAGAGCTAAAAGATAGAGTCAAGTAATGGAGTCAGACGCAATTCATGGTAGCATATCTCACCTCAGCCCGGCTTGATGGTCCTCGTGGAGGGGGCTTAGCCGTCAGAAAAGAAGCCGCTGCTTCGTCCTCCTTAGTCACCTTCTGGCCACCCTCTGGCCAGCCACCCTCTCGAGTACCAGGGAGCCTCGTTATTTATTGCTAACCACGCATCGTAATCATACATCACAGAAAGGGGCAATACAATTCATTCTAGAACAAGTTTGATCGCTCTAATATCTCACATAATAAAACAGACCATTACTATTCTGGGAGGCATGCAAGTTCCCTGATAGTGGACAATAGCCTGAGTCACCAGGAGGGATATTAACATAGGCAATACAATCAATAGGAGAGGAATCACCTAGGGGTGTGCCCACATTGGTTGTGGAATAGACAGTGGTATCTGCTTGATCTAAACAGCTGATAATGGCTAACTAACCTTGGTCACCCTTGGGCGGGTTTGCCCTCTCTGGTATCCCTGCAAGTGAATAGACCACCATTATCCTTATCAGAAGGGAGTGGGTCTTATTCAGGGTGGGTCAGACTAATGGTCTAGCCACTACAGATGGCCAATGTCAAGGAGAATAACCTCTGACCTACTTTCGCCGAGAGTCACTCTTAAGCAGCTAAGTTTGGTACATATTTTGGGGAGACAACTTAAGAGAATTCCTTCTGTTCCCCACACAGACTGATTCTGAAGAGGCAAATTTTGAAAGTGAAGTAGACTTGATATTATTAACAAGTTCTGTCTAATGTCTTTTGGAAGTCCTGCCAGTTTATCATTGGCACTTTAATCGGTTTGGGGTGTTTTTTTTTGTTTTTTGTTTTTTTGCTAAAAAGATTGACTCTGAAGAACAAATTTTGAAAGTGAAGTAGAGTCAATATCATTAACAAAGGATGGAAAGGCATCGTTCACAAAGAGAGAAACAAGTAGAGCCCTGGCAGGTTGAGAAAGGCATTTATGAACTGACACGGCAGGCATTTGCTGTCTCCCCGCTGAAGGAGACGACACAGGGCCCTGGGAATCCTGGTCAGAGAACAACGTGAACGCGCCGGAAAGACGCCTCCTTTCCTTCCTCCTCATTAAATACCCACTGCCGTGTTACAGATTCAAACTGCTCCATGGACTTGTCTCACCTCTAATCTTTATGGAAATAGACCAGCAGGCCTTTCTTCCACAGCTCGGAGGAAGTGTTCAAACTCTTAATAGTAAGTTTAACTCGTTGCAACCACACAGGGCTCGTTCCTCTTAATTTGGTCAGAATGACAATAGATGTCTAAGAGGCTACAGTACTGTCTTCAGTGCTGGGTACCACATCAGAAAGGAGCTCCAAGCCGGAGCTTGCCTTGAGGACAGTGACCTGAGAGAGAAGGCAAGAAACTCGTGACATAGGAAACCAGCAGGAGCAACTGAGGGGGCTGAGCCTGGAGTGAAGAGAACCTAGGGGACATGGGGTGGTGGACGTCCACTTCTCAGACAACCCTACTAGAAAGGGCAGTCCTATTCCTCCATGTCCAGAGAAGAGAAGTAAATCCCATGCAGGGGGTGCCAGACAGGCAGACTTCGAGTCAAGTCCTGGAGGAGCTGTCCAGTAATTGTTGAGCTCTGTGATTTCCCCTGAATTCAAAGCGTTCAAGGCAAGGCTATAGAAGGCAGCCACTCATCCAGAAAAAGTAGAGAAGATTCATGCATCGGGTCAAAAGTCAAGGTCAAACCTGACTAACGCTTAGAATCTCAGCATGTCTCTCCAACTGTGAGACCCTCATAACAATTTGCAGTGGTCCAAATTGTTGGGGGGGGGGGGCAGGGAAACACATTCAAAACCACCTGGGAAACATACATATGCCCAAATCCTTCTGCACACAGAAATAACACTCCATTCAGGAAAGTTTCCGAGCATGTGGATCTTAGGGGGGGGGGAAACAGATGACTCATATATACCACTACTCTACCATTTGAAAATGTAAAAAGCTTGAAAATGATATAAAACAGCCCACCTGGGAGGGCCTGTGGGCACGGCGCTGGGCGGCTGATCGCCAACCCACCAATCTTTCAAAACCACCAGCTGCTCTGCAGAAAAAACAGGAGGCTGTCCGCTCCTGGAAAGATTGATAGTCTCAGGACCCAGCAGGGTCATTATGAGTTGGAATTGACTTGAGGGCAGTGGGTTAGGCTATGAAAAAGATAACACCATTTTTGTCAGAAACTTGTTCAGAGATATAGGGAGGAGAAGAGTACTAAAGAGAGAAATCCCAGGTAACAAGATCCAGTGTGAGTTAGTCAGACCTGCGATTGAATCAGAGAAAAAAATCATTTTTATTAATTTGCTAAAAATCTGCACAAAAAACACTGACTTGTATCTAAATGTTATTAAGGTGACCTAAATCCATAATATGACCTAAGCACAATATTTGATACTGTAATCATGCTCATTATAATAAATTATAACTAATACCTTGCCTTCTATATTACCATGTTCATTTTCATGTAATTAATAAAACTGCATCTGTGTGTGTGTGTGCGCGCACACGTGCGTATGCAAGCATACGCTTCTAAGAAGCCTGCGGTTCAGGCCACGTGGAGATAACCACTACCCATCTGGAAGTGGTCCTGCTAAATTGCCAGCTAAGTACCTTAATGGAAAGCATTTTCTTTTTTTTGGAAAGCATTTTCTAACACGCCACTTTATAAACCTAACATCATAAAGTAATGGCAACTATAGGAGCCCCTTATCTTCTAACCCCATTTTTACATTTCTCCACAGACTCTTTGAGAAGCAGTCAATTAGTGTGGCCCTTCTGGCGATAATCCCCTATGTTATGTTATAAATTTTGACCTCTCTGCCTGTGGCTATAACCCCATTTGTGGGGAGGAGACAAGATGCAGATGGGATTAAGCCAACTAGTACAGAGTGTGAACAAGTCACTCCCCTTTGTTTCCTTGGGGGGGGGGTGATCTGATGAAAGACGAAAACCGCACCACAGAGCCATTCCTCTGTGTATAAGGGCCATTTCAGGAAGGCAGGAAGAAATCTCAGAACCCTCAGAAGAAGAGCCAATGGCAATGCATGTTCAAGGTCTCTGTCTGAAGGGGTGGAGGCCATGACCAGCGGGACCAGAGGATGGGGCACAGGGAACAAAGATGATGAGCAAGAAGCAGAACTGGGACGACAAGAGTGAGGCAGAGTGATCAGCGGCAGACCACAGAGACTGAGCATCAGAGAGACTTGGCTGCTGGCTGAGGAGAGGCGCTGCTGTGGACCACTGACCGTATACCGTATCCTTACGCTTTACTGATCCTGACTTGTACAACCTGTCCACTCTCCAAGTAAACCCTTATCATGGTGAGTTGTGTGTGGCCATTGCAATGGATTATTGAACCCAGCATAGAGTAGCGTGCCATGGAAGGGAACAGCTAGTTTCAGAACAGGGTAAAGAAGGAGGGAGGGGGAGGCATAGCTCAGGGCTTCCTCGTGGCAACAGGGAAGCCAGAGGAGATCAGGTATGGGCCTCCACACCTTTGTCACACTCTTATTCTCCAGACCTCTTACCATCCTCCATTTTCTCAGAATCTCCCACTCCGATAAAGCCCTTGATAACGTAAGACATGAGCACTTATGCCTGACAGTGTCCACGCCCGTGTGTCACAAAGGGCTATGGATGCTTTAACTTGGCAGGCATCAGCAAGGCCTTGCCAGACCGGTAGAGGAGATCGGTGAGATAAAGGAGGGCCACCGGGCCTTCTTGTCTCCTTCACAACATGTCTCGTGGGCTGCTGCCTTTTCCTCCAGTACAAAGGACAGCCAAGAAAACATTTCTCTTGGTGGGTATTTGACATCAAATAAAAGCCCAGTTAAATTACGATCGTGCGTTTCTACCTAAAACTCAGTAAGGGCTAGAGTTCTTATAATTACCTAAGACTAGAGTTGGCAAACTTTTTTCATAAACAATAGTATTTTAGGCTTTGTGGGTCATATAGGCTCTGTTGTAGCTTTGACCTTGTTGTACCATGGCAGCCAGAGTGAAAATGTAAATACATGAGTGTTTATATACATATAAGGCTTTATTTACATAAGCAGGAAGGGGGCAGATTTGGTCCATGGCGGTAGTTTGCCAACCCCTGACCAAAGACATTGAAATCATCAAATTGTACCTATCCAGCTGGAATGGATGGATACACAAGCGTTAGCAGATTCGGCGGTATGTCAGTATCCTGAGACACAAAAGGCCCTGAAGCAAGCTCGTCATAATTGTAGAAGAAGTTATCTGGTATTTTCTTCATAACCTTCTCCTCTTCTTGGTCCACAGGTGGAACAGGGGTTTCCACATTCAGAGATTCTAAAACATTAAAATATTTTAACTAACGGGAGCAAGTGGTGAATCCTAAGATCCTATTTCCGAAAGACAAGGGGAATGTACATAATCTGAAATACTATCATCAGTGGCCCGGATGTAGGATGCTACCCACCCGTGAGCATGGCAAGAAGAATGAACATGCCTACGTGTCGGGGGTGAAGGTTGAATTCTGGCCGCCGTTTGGGCAATATCTGAAAAGTAACCCCCAGTTGATTTCAAGGGAGGGCTACTCTCACTAATCTGGGGTGCAACAACCCTTATACCACCCACTCTCCCATGATCCAGGAAAAAAAAAGGTTGAGGGTTCTCTATGCGATTATCAGAAAGTGATTATACATAACCCCAGAGCTGCTAAGCCACCCCATCCGACAACGCTTGATGCTTTTCGTTGGCACCACGCCCCTTTCATAGCCATATCCTGCAAGGTTCTTTCTATGACTTTATAACTGTGCTCCTGCAGAACGGGGCAATCTGTCTTTTAAAGTGATTATTAATCATAAGAAATCAAAAATATCCACCTGCAGTTCTTTCTGAATCATCCTGCAATGTATATGAACTTTCTTCCAAATCCTCGTCATAAAGGTCTTCATCTGAATATGAGTCTTCCCCTTCAGTTAATGTTTCAAATGTGGTATCTCTTGCTGCAGCTATTAATGATAATGTTTTATTAATCTCTAAATTCTGAATAAAGCAGTCTGTTAGACCCAGAGTAGCTAATTCTTCAAACTTGCTCTAAATGCAATGAATTATAGTACTCAAAAATTCCTAATAGAATCATTTTATTTGATCAGTCTTGTCATTTTTAAAAAGGAAGTCTCTCCTGTGAGTTCTTCTCCGTTGTCATTTCATCTCCATTCTATCTCATATCACTGAATACTCAGAAGAAGTAAAAGATCAAGAAAAGGGGGAAAAAAGGCTAGTGTCCTGTTTGTTATCAGTATTTAAATTCAATATCGCCAACATTTATCAAGAATGTGTTACATTACAACACAAATAGCAATTATTTAAGAATATCCTTTACTGAATATGATTATCTCTGGAGTGATAGCCTAAGCATAAGAATCAGGGTGTAGAATATTGCCTGTAGCCCAAGCTAAAAGAAAAGAACTGGCATGGAAAAAGAACCACTCGAAGTGCAAGTTAACATTCAGATCAAGTCCAAACATGGATACTGTTAAAAAAGACAAAACCAAGCAGATCAAAGACTAAACTGTGTGAATCTTTGGAAGAAGAAATTACAATGGTACCAAGCGGCGTAGAGCCAACTAGATCACCGAGCTTAAATGAGGCTGAATGATTAGAGTAATACAAACGAAACAAGAAGGGCTGGCCAAGCTAATTAGCCGGGTGACAAGACAGTATTTGGTTGGATTCATGTGTTTGGATAGAAAGACAATAATGTTAGATACAAAAATAGGTCAAAGATTCAACTTAGTTTTCCCAAAGAATGGTCATGGGGGAAACAATTCTCCAATAATGCCATTTAACACACACCTGAGGTATTTCTACTCCCGTAAAGTGTCGCAGTCTCAGAAATCCACAAGGCCAGTTCTACTCTGTCCCGTACGTAGGGTCTCTCTGAGTCAGGAGCAACTCAATGGCAGCGAGTTTGGTTTTGAATTTTTGTTTTTGGTTTAGTTCTTTCTTGGGCCTGTGACGGCCAAAGACTATTTCCACATCTCATGATTAGCGTCCATAGCTTCTTACTAACCTCCTCTCTGGAAAAGAAGCTGAGACTGACAGTAAATGAGCAAAGAGCTAGGATTCAGCAGTCACTGACCGAGGGCCTGGGAGTGGATACGGATAAAGGAGCACAGATTAAAAAATAATGAGAATGGATATGCTGATTCTAGTAGAAAGCCAGTGATAAGATGTTTGGAAAAGGGGGGACTTAGAAGAAAAACTAATATGGCAAGGATGACATTAATTGAAAATGATAAAGCAGCAAATCTAGGCAGTTTGACAATTATGTGGAATTTTTATGCTTTAAAAGTTGTCGGGTAGAGAGGCTTTATGGTGCAAAGAATAAAACAGCATTTGTTTTTCAATTATTGGAAATCATCTAAAGACCACAGAGAGAATGAGATATAATACCAAAAGCTCAGAAGGAGCTATCTTATATGTGTCAAAGATCTCTCTTTAAAAAAAAATTCATTTTATTGGGGGCTCATACAACTCGTATCACAATCCATCCATCCAACCATTGTGTCAGTACATTTGTACATTTGTTGCCCTCACCCTTCTCCAAACATTTGCTTTTTACCTGAGCCCTTGTTATCAGCTCATTTTCCCCCTCCCTCATGAACACTTGATAATTTATAATTTTTTTTCATGTCTTACATTGACCAATGTCTCCCTTCACCCACTTTTCTGTTGTCCATCCCTGAGGGAAGGGGTTATATGTAGATCCTTGTGATCAGTACCCCCTGTTATCACTAGTCTCATTTTTGGTCCTAAGGGTTTGTCTGTCCTGGATTCCCTGTGTTTCCAGCTCTTATCTGTACCAGTGTACATCCTCTGGACTAGCCAGATTTGTAAAGTATAATTGGGATTAGGATAGTGGGGTGGGGGTGGGGGAGAGGGGGGAGGAAGCATTAAGGAACTAGAGGAAAGTTGTAACTTGTATGTTTCATCGTTGCTATACTGCACCCTGACTGGCTCATCTCTTTCCCGTGACCCTTCTATAAGGGGATGTCCAGTTGCCTGCAGATGGGCTTTGGGTCTCCACCCTGCACTCCTCCTCATTCACAATGATGTGATTGTTTTGTTCTTTGATACCTGATCCCTTCAACACCTCATGATCACACAGGCTGGTGTGCTTCTTCCATGTGGGTTTTGTTGCTTCTCAACTAGATGGTCGCTTTTTACTTTTCAAGCCTTTAAGATCCCAGACGCTATATCTTTTGATAGCTGAGCACCATCAGCTTTCTTCACCACATTTGCTTATGTGCCCGCTTTGTCTTCAGCAATCCTGTTGGGAAGGTGAACATCATGGAATGCCAGTTTAATAGAACAAAGTGTTCTTGCATTGAGGGTGTACTTGAGTAGAGGCCCAATGTCCATCTGCTACCTTATCACTAAACTTATAAACATAAATCTCTTATAGTACCATACTGGCAAGGTCGAGGGAGCTGAGGATGCTGACTAATTATTTTACATGGTTATTTGGAATTCTCAAGCCTATGAAGGTTTGAATTCATTTTTGAGCTGAGCAAAAGGGGAGGCATGTCCCTAGGAGGACCCAACATAAGAAAGGGAGGTCCTGCAGCAGAGCTTGACAAAGGTTCACCAATGAAAGTTGAGAGCAAGCTTTATTCATGAAAATCATGCCACACCGTGGAAACCTGCATGTAGACATAGCCGTGTCATAAATGTGTTGTTGTTGGGTGTCATTGAGTCAGGTCTGACCCTAAGCCACCCTAAGCACCAGGGAACAAGCACTGCCCATCCTCGGCCAGCCTTCCCGTGTTCTTCTTTCGGAGCCCACTGATGCAGCCACTGCGCCAATCCCTCTTGTCTAAGGTCTTCCTTGTTTTCCGTGCCCCACTACTTTACCAGCCATCATGTCCTTCGGCAGGGGACAGTCTCTCCTGGTCAGAAGTGTATGCAACGTGAAAATATGAAGAGGGGTAAATCAGGGTGGGGGGTGTCAAACTAAGGTTTTTGAGTGGGAAAGTGATGGGATCATATTCTTAGGAAAGGTCATTCCAGTGACAACATGGATGGAGAAGCAGGTGAAAAAACCTGAGTGGAAGGCGGCAGCAAGACGGCGGACTAGGCAGACATGCTACCCAGACCTTCTACCACAAAGACGTGAGGGACGCAGTGAAAGCCTGAGCATCAGAGGAAAGGGATAGAGAAGAGAATTAAACATTGACTAGCAGAACCCAAGTGGTGAGAGGGAAGACAGATGGAGAGCTGCCCAGTTTCAGCTTTTGCGAGCAGAGTCCAACAGGGACAGCAACCTGGTAATCAGCTTTGCTCCTGCTCAGAATCACACAAGTACACAGTGGTAAACGGCGACCAGGAAAGTGCACTCCTGCCCTTGTTCCCACACCTTCTAGGTAACCGGAAGCATGCCCACTCCCTATCTCATGGACCCCCACAGTCAGTGGCACTCCTTCGCACAGCACAAGCTATGTCTGAGGTCAGAGGTGCTGATCCCACACACCTTGTGGGCCAACAGGAAGGTCATCTTGACCAGCCACACGCCTTGGCCGCCCTGTCAAGCAGGGGGTGCTGACTCATGCGTTGACCTCGCATGTCCCCTTGTTTGCCTTGACACTGGTTTCTCCCTTCTGTTCTCCCCCTTCCCTTCTCCGTCCTCTCTGTTTCCCTTCTTCCTTGTCTAGTTCTCTTCCCCTCCATTCTTTTCCTTCATTGTCATTACCATTCTCTTTTCCATTGTCTCCTCTCTTGTTTTGTTTATTGTGGTTTTTCTCCCACTGATTTTATATTCCTTTACTTTTCCATTTTTAGAATTTCTTTTTCCTTATTGTCTGTTTGTTCCCCCTGACCCCACTGGTGTTTTATGCCCCCTTTTAACCTTTAATGCGCTTGTTTTTCTCTCTTTTTTTTCCTCTTGTCCCACACAGCCGCACAAGCATATCCTACAGCCCCACCCACTAGGTAAGAACTAGCTACACAATTGATCTATGTATTGTGATGAATTGTATGAGCCCCAATAAATTGATTAAATAAATAAATTAATTAATTAATTAAAATTTTAAAAAAGAAAGAAGCCATCAAGAATAAAAAAAAAAAAAAAAGATCTAGCACAGGACCCAGTACTACCTGATAAATATGAGACAAGGGTCAGCACCAGCCACACCCACCCTCAACTGCACTGCATGAGCAGCAAACAGAGCACTGAGTATACATTGCTATCCTTGTTCACATCCACCAGGAGACGAGTGAGTACTCCAAAACTCGCCAACAGTACACCACCGACATACACCAAACGGACAGTTTCAGCTCACATAAAGAAACCAGAAGGTGACTTTAAGCACATGACCAAAATACAGATCCAGACCACTTTCCAGAGGAAGAAACAACATTGGAACTACCTGATAAAAAAATTCAAAAGTCAGGTTTCTTCAATAGGTTGAGAGAAAGATAAAGTTATAAACAAAATCAAGGAAAACACAGATGAAACTTTACAAAAATTCAGGAGAGCACTACATGGACAAATCCACAAAACAAATGGAAAAACATAAACCATACAAAAATAATACATAGAAGTGCAGAAGATTAAAGTTTCAGAAAAAAATAATACATTGAAAAAGCAAAAAATAAGTATAATTGAATCAATGGAAGACAGTTATGAGTGCCAAGACAAATGTCTCAATATTAGTCTGCTAGAAGAAGAATTAGAAAACAACAGAAATAAGAAGGCATGCCTAAGAAAAACGTGGGTCCCCATCAAGAAGAAGAATTTGTGGTCAGAATAGGAAGAATAGGAACAAGAAGAGACAAAAAGAAGCACACAAGATTGTCAAGGAGCTGTTGAAGATCTATCTTCCTAACATCAGGAAAGGTGAGAGGATATGCATTAGTAAGCTGAATAGGCCCCCAAAAGAATACATCCCAAAATAAAATCACCAAGACATATCCATAATCAAATTTTCCAAAGCCAAAGATAAAGAAAGGATTGTGGGGGGGAAATAAATAAATAAAAGCTTAAAAAAAAAAAACAACCCAAAAAGTTACCTACAAAGGAGTACCAATAAGACTAAGCTTGGATTTCTCAGAAAAACCAATGCTCACAACAAAGTAACTAAAAACACTGACTCGCTTCTGATGCATAGGGTTTCCAAGTCCATGAATCCTTACAGGAGCAGAAGTTTTTGACTGTGGTCAGCAGTCTGACGTTTATCCAACAGCGCCACCAGAGGTCCTCAAGAAGGTAAGAGGATGGCATATATAAAACTGAACAACAAATTGCTAACAATTACATATTTTAAAAACCCCATCCCTCAAATGTGATGGCAAAATTAGGGCATTTCCAGATAAACAGAAATTAAATAAATTTTTGATAAACCAGCCAAGCTTACAAGAAATATTAAAGGGATTTCATTCAACAGAGGGCCGACAATGGCAGAAAACAAGCCAAGCTTAATGCACATGACCCCACCACCCAAAGTCAAACAACACAGTAGAAGTTTACAAAGTAAGATAAACCAACAAAACTGAAAACAGAGAACCAGAGAAACAAAATTATAAATGAAGTCAATTACAAAATGAAAAGGGGAAGTGAATAGCATATGAGGTAATTATATAATTGTCAATTTAAGGATTAGCATGTAGGGGTGGAGTCCAGCCTGTCAATCAGCTCACAGCCAATGAGGCTTCTGTGTGGGCATAGCCTTCCCCTAAGGATTCTGGGAATTCCGGCATTTCCTCCTTAGATGTGGGAGACTCTGCTCACACGCTGGGAGACATAACAGCTGACAAGACACATGGACCCACCCTGATGCAGCCCTGGGTGCTGGAGAGGCCAAGCAGAGACCCCCTGCCAGCGCTGAGATGTTTCCAATGCCACTGGATCCAAAGACTTTCTACCCACTGGCCTGTGATCTTCTACATTCGGCATCATTGCATGTGTTCCATGAGTCTGAAGAGGACTTCATAGATTGGTATCGGACATATGGGCTGGGCTGGGATGTTTTCTCAATGTTCAATTGCTGTTGTATATAAATCTCTTTCTTATACACATATGTGTGTGTCCATGGATTTGTTTCTCTAGTCTACCCAGCATAGTTAGAGAACTTCTAAGGGAAGAGGAAGTAAAGCAGATTTCAAGAAAGAACAGACTGCTTAAAACTTGGAGAGAGAAATTAATAAATTACAGGGTAACCTCAAAGAAAATTAGAAAAACATCTCCTCAAAATAAAAAAAAAAGAGGAGCTGACACCAAGGGCTCCACAAAAAATAAATGTCTAGAAAATAACGATGGCAGCATATGTACAAATGTGCTTGATACAAATGACGTATGGATTGTTACAGGAGCTATAAGAGCCCTCAATAACATGGTTGGTTTAGCTCCTGTAACAATCCATACGTCATTTGTATCAAGCACATTTGTACATATGCTGCCATTTAGTGAACATCAAAAGGGCAGCAAAGAAGAAAATGATAATAAAGTTCATGAACAAAATGAACCCATCACAGAAAATTATTTGGAACAAAGAAACCAGCAGCACCCTGATACACACACACACACACACACACACACACACAGCAAATGACACCTAAAATTCACATCTATAATTACACTAAATTTAAATGGATTAAATATACCAGCAGTCAAGAGAAAGAGATTACCAGAATAGATTAGAAAGGAAGTCCCATCAATATACTGTCTGCAAGAGATACACTTTACACACAAAGACAAAAATAGACTAAAAATCAGAAGAGGGAATAATATATACATCAAGCTAATAGCAGTTGAAAAAGTAGGAGTGGCAGTAGTACTAATTTCCTATAAAATAGATTTAAAGACAAAACCAGGATAAGACACAAAAGAAGGACATTACATAATGAGTAAAAGGTTAATTGAACAAGAGGACAGAGCCATTATAAATATCTTATGCACTGTGACAGTTGGGTTTATTGTGCCAAAGGTCTTCCTCTTTTTTCATTGTCCCTCTACTTTACCAAGCATGATGTCCTTTTCCAGGGACCGGTTTGTCCTGCAGCATGGCAGCCTGATAGAACAGAGTAGAACTGCTCCGTGGGTTTTCAAGACTCTTTTGGCAGTAAGATTGATTGATTGATTAATTGATTGATTTTTGGTTGGTTGGTTGGTTTTGGTTTGGTCTCGTTTAACAAGATGCTCAAAGTAGGTGAGACGAAGTCTTGCCATCCTTGCACCGAAGGAGCAATAAATATACACATTTAAAAAATAAGAACCAAAATCAACACTTAATCCAACAATTAAAAAATGAGCAGCAAAATAAACTAACAGTCCCCAGAAGAAGGGGCGAGGAAGAGGTTAGAGCAGAAATAAATTAAGCCGAAACAGAAAAATAATAGAAAGAATCAACAAGAGCAGACGTTGGTTCTTATAAAAGATTAATAAGCCGAAAAAACACCAACCAATCTAACAGAGAAGATACAAATAACAACAGTAATAAATGTAATGGGCTATATCACAACAGAACCAACCGAAATTAAAAGGAAAATTGACAGGATGCTATGAAGAATTGTACTCCAACACTTTTGAAATCCGAAAAGAAATGGACACCTTTCCAGAAACACACTACTTACTTAAACTAACACAGACTGAGGTAGAAAATTAGAACAAGCCAATAACAAAAGCATAAATTGGTCAGGACCAGTGCTGAGAGTGGCGATTCCGGGAGGGTGGAAGGAGGGTGGGGTAAAAAGGGGGAACCGATTACAAGGATCTACATATAACCTCCTCCCTGGGGGATGGACACAGAAAAGTAGGGGAAGGGCGACATCAGATGGTATAATATATAACAAAATAATAATAATTAAAAGTTTTCAAGGATTCATGAGGGAAAGGGAAGTGAGGAGGGGGGGGCATGAGGAGCTGATACCAAGGGCTCAAGCAGAAAGCAAATGTTTTGACAATGATGATGGCAACAAATGTACAAATGTGCTGAACACAATAGATGGATGTATGGATTGTGATGAGTTGTATGAGCCCCCCAATAAAATGATTAATAAAAAGAAAGAATAAATTGGTCGGGCCATTAAAGAATCCCCTAACAGACTAAAAAATGTCCAGACCTAGACAACGCCACTGGTAAACAGTCAGAGAAGTGCTGAAACCAATTCTACTCAAACTATCCCAGAGTATAAGAAAGGTCGGGATATTCTTGAATTTATTTTATGAAGCAAGCAGAACGCTGGTAATGAAGCAGGCAAAGACATCACTATACAAGAAAACTAGAGCCCAATATCCCCCGTGAGTCTCAGCAACATTGGCAGGAGCTGCCAGAAATTCAAGCCGGAAGCAGGAGAGGATGTGGAACAAGGGATATCATCGCAGAAGCTAGGTGGATCTTGGTAAAAGGAGAGGGTACCAGAAAGGTGTTTACTTGTGTGTTACTGACTATGCAAAGGCATTCGGCTGCGTGGACCACAACAAACAGCCGATAGTCTTAACAATGGGCATTCCAGAGCACTTCATTGTGGAGAACCTGGACGTGGATCAAGAGGCAAACAAGAGACGGCTACCTGGTTAGCAGCCCCGTTCTTGACCCACTGTGCACCCCTGCGGCCCTGGGGAGGAGGAGCTTTTGAACAGGCAAGATTCCACTGACACCTAGCACCACGAAAGCCAGGCTAAGTTGGCTCTCCTCCAAAAATCCGAATGATAAAATTCCTTATTTTCCCTCATCTTTTCAGCCTATGAAAATAAATCTTCGATTTTAACCCCCAACAACTCACAATGGCTATTTTAATGAGTGAGAAAATTGAGGCCCAGAAAGGTGAGAGCAATTTTTCCAAGATCAAGCGTCTGTCAGTGGTAACGTAAGAACTCAAAACCCAAGTCTAGCTGTCTTTCCACGACCCTGTTTCAGAAACATCTGTGGAAGATGCAGGAGACCTCACGTGAGCGACGAGGCCGAAGGTGCAGATAGGTCATTAAAGAACACTAAAACCATACACTTTGCTCTTGAGGAACTTAAGAGTTTAGCAAGGAATTGAACAAGTAAACTATGGGTGCTCTACTGATTTAGATTATGCCCTTGTTAAAATTTACTAACATTTCACAACAATAAACATCCAAGTGTCTGTCCCAACGTCCACTTACATCTCAATGCAGAACTAGATGACGCCTGAGACGCTGCTTTTTCGCTCTTTGATTGATCTGATTTCCCATCGTCTGGTTCCATTTCCACTGTGAGGGCAAAATTCAGACAAAGGAAAATAAAACAGAAATCTTCAACAGGTTTTTTCTCCCCCTACTAACATTCCCTGAGCCCGTACTGGGTACCACTCCCTTTCACAGGCCCATGTTTGCGCACGACTTATTTCACCAGCAAGTCGATGCTGCCACCTTCAGGGCTCTCAGTCGAATAGCAAAACGGATACCCGTTCTCCAGGCAAACTCATCGTCTGGGTATTCCCCCATTCACAGTGACACATGCCACCACATACATTCTAGGTGGGCCCCAAATGCTCTACCTACTAAAATAAACCGACTGTCACACTTCCTTCAATCTATCCTCCCTCTTCCTCTCTCATTATCAAATGACCCTGGCTGATCGCTGTTGACTGTACCTATTATGTATTAGTCTTGTGTTAATCACTAGGTTGCAATACCGAACAAGAGAGATCTGGCCCCTACTATGGAGGAGCTGGCTGTTTAGCAGGAAAGAAAGACATTAAACAAGCAATTAAAATACAAGGCGCACTATAGAAAGGAACAAATAGTGGGAACGCTAAGAACAATGCATTCTTATTTCAACTCCTAATTGACCCTCTAACCCAAGCTCGAACTCACTGCCATCAAATAGATTCCGACTCGGAAGGACCCCGTGGATTTCCAAGACCCTAACTCTTTCTGGAAGAGTTTCTCCTGCAGAGTAGCTAGGGGGTTCGAACTGTGGACCTTGCGGTTAGCAGCCCAATGTGTAACCGCTCTGCCACCGGAGTCCTTATCGACCCCATGGACAGAGTAAACTGCCCCATAAGGTTTCCAAGTTTAAAATCTTTATGTCCAAAACTGCCACATCTTTCTTCTGGGCTGCAGCTGGCCAACTTGAACCTTTCAAGTAGGCAATAGTGGTTAAACTCTGGGCTCCCAGGACTCCTTCCTTGGGCTGCAGAAGAGTAAGGGGATTCGTGCATTACTAGAACTTCTTGGTCTCCAAAGGTAGGCTAGTGTGCATAAGTAGATAGATCAGTGGTTCTCAACCTGTGGGTCGAGACCCCTTTGGGGGTCAAACGACCCTTTCACAGGGGTTACCTGACTCACATCAGTAGCAAAATGACAGTGATGAAGTAGCAACGAAAATAATTTTATGGTTTGGGGGGTCACCACCACATGAGGAACTGTATTAAAAGATTCCGGCATTAGGAAGGTTGAGAAGCGCTGAGATAGATGATCAGTGGAGAAGGCTCTTGTGATTAGATTTAAGCCTTTACAAATCAGAGAACCTTTCCCTGTTGAAGTCCAAAGCAGCATAAAAGATGCAGCAGAAATGACAGTCAGAGATGAGCTGAAGAGAAGTCAGACACCTTCACCGAGGGCTTTGAAGGGGTCCACAAGGCAGAGACTTTGGGTGCTCTTTGGAAGCTTAAACGGGCATCTATGGGGTGAACTTTGGACTGCTAACTGCAAGCTGTGGGAGAAAGATGAGGCTGTCTGCTCCTGTGAAGATTACAAACTCAGAGTCTCTGAGTCAGAATGGAGTAGACAACAGAGGACCTGTTTTTCTTTGTTGGTCATTAGACTGGACCTACCAGATAACCCACACTCATCTCCCCGTCTTAAAGGCAGGAACCTCAATGAGCTTGTGTAAAGTCTCGCCACAGTACTACTTAGATGAGTGTTTGATTGAATAACCAGAATTCTACCTCCAGAACCAAAGCCAAATTCACTGCCATTGGGTCAATTCTGACTCATAGTGATCCCATTGGGCTGACCAGAACTGTCCCTATCGAGTGTCAAGACTGTACATCTTTATTTGAGGAGAAAGCCTCCTGTTTCTCTTTCTCTGCAGAAGTAAGATGGTTTCAAACTGCTCACCTTGTAGCTAAAAGCCCAAGGTGTAACTCACTCCACTATCAGAGCATAGTAGAATTCTCTCTAGCACATGCATAGTAGAAAGAATGTGAAACTTCATCAAAGACAATAATTCTAGTGCAAGTAGAGCTTTAACTCCCCAATCTACAAAATCATGACATTGGACTAAATTATACCTCAGATTTTAAAATCAGAAAATGTTGAGAGAGGTTGGTGAAAAAATACCAAAAAAAAACAAAAACCAATCTATGTTCCTTAAAAGGATGGATATATTCTAGTATAGAAAACATTGCGATGTCCCCATAAAAATACTCTATATTTCTAATCTCGTTGTACTATTTGAAATCATTCTTTCCTGCTTACAATTGAAAATGGGCTTCACTAGATCATTTTCCACCCTCTAGCTGGGCCTTTTAAAACACGTTCCCTTTTTTTTTTAACAGGCCCTAACTGGAACTTAACTGGATAGATTCTAAGAAGAACCATGGCCACATGGAGATGGCTAGCATCACATAACATTTAAAAAAAAAGTCTGCATACAAATGGAGCCCTAAACTCAAACCGACAAGGGTCAACTGCACCATTAGTGAGAACGAATAAACATTTTTGCTTTGTTTCTGAGGAATGGAGAGATCAGGAAGGTGTATTGTGACTTGGTGTCCAAGGACACAATTGCACCGAACAATGTTGAGGAAGAGAAAGGCAGCTTTGTGGGAAAGGACTGGAAAGGGCTTTGATGGACCCTGGGAGGAGAGCCCTGCATCTACTCTACTGGACCAACAACTGACAGGTTTTTAAAAGAAGGTTAAGGGGATGCTGGCTGATTATTAGGTTGTGTGAGCAATTTACTGAGATTGCAATTGTTCAGAATGAATTCTTTTCTTATGACAAGGCCTCATGGATTTGGGGAGATGTAGGGAGCAGGGGTGGGGATTAAGGAATAGGAGGCAGGGGCCATAAAGACCAAGGAAGGGACAAAGGTTGGGAAGACAGGGAAGGGAAGGTTCATTCTAGTGGTTCAGTGCTACAATTCTCTGCTTCCACATGGGAGACCAGGGTTTGATGCCTGGCCAATGCACCACAGGGGAAGCCACCACGCATCTGGCACTGGAGGTGTGTATGTGATTCTGATGCTGAACACTTTCAGTGGAGGTCCAGACTGAGACAGACTAGGGAGAAAGGGCAGGCTGACTCAAGGGCAATTAACAACAATGAAGTTAAACGTAACAAAGGAGATCACGTTCCTGGTCTCTTGTTTGCAGTGAGCTGTTGTCTGGAATAGTTCTGGGGGAGAAGAGAGACCCCAAATTCTAATATCCCTTATAAAAGCACATTTCTTAAGTTTTAAATGGGACAAAGACAAATCATTCAGGTGATTAGCAGGAGGCCATACTGGTATCCAGAGATTCACACTCACAGGGCGACGTACACAGGGGCTCGGAGAACGGAAACCGACACAAAATCATGGCTGGCGGCAGATCAGGTCAGCACAGTTGCAGGACGACAGAGCAGGAAATGGACTGTGACTGGGATGAATACACTACTGCAGATTAGAAAAGCTTATAAGATTGGCTCAGGGCTGAATCCACGAGGAGACTCCAGAATGGATGTAAGGCTTCCACTGTAAGCCATAGCCCGGAATTTACACTCAAAACAAAACACCTAAATAAAAAGCATCACTATAATGGAGTCAATTTCAACTTATCGAAAAATGAGCCCAAGGAAGAAGGAATGTACGGGAATGACTGTCCTGACGGTTGCACAACTCTTATGAATGTGTTTGAACTACTGTGCTGTATGATATGTGAATTGTATGTCAGTGAAATTGTCAAATGTAAACTAAGTATTAAAAAAATATCCAAACTCATAACCATTAAGTCAATTCAGACTCACAGTGACCCTTCAGGACAGGGTAGAATTGCCCCTGTGGGTTTCAGAAACTGTAACTGTTTACAGAGGTAGAAATCCCTGTCATTCTCCCACTTCCAACTCATAGCAACCCGAGACAGAGTAAAACAGCCCCTGAGAGTTTCTGGGACTGTAACTCTGTACGGGTGCAGAAGACAACGCAGTATTTCTCTCTTGAGCAGCTGGTCGGTTTGAACTGCAGATCATTTGGTCAACTCGATACTCCCTGAAGTAGTTAGTTTACTGTGCCAACCTGGCCGATAAACACATGTGGGGTTAATTGAAGGGCGGAGGGATAAATGGCTCAGTGAGCTTTGCCTTTCTATTTCTCGGGTCTCTTGCTTTCTGATGGTCAGACCAGGGTGCCTTAGCCAGTTCCCTCCTTCAGCTGGCAAGGCTCACTTCCTGCAAGACATCCCTGAGGAGAAGCCATATGGACCTACCCCGATGCAGCCCTGGGTGCTGGAGCAGCCATGTGGAGACCCCCCGCCAGTGCTGAGATGTTTACACATTCACTGACTCAGCTTTCTTCCTGCAGTCGGCATCATTGCATGTGTTTTGTGAGATGGAGGAGGACTTTGTGGTTTGGTGTTGGACATATGGGTTAATAGGTTAATGTTGGACTTGTGGGCTTAGGCAGCACTGGGTTGGGATATTTTCTGATGTGCACTTAACCTTTATATAAAACTCTCTCTTATACATGAGTTTCTGTGGATTTGTTTCTCTAAAGTAACCAGACTAACACATTCCCTCTAGTGAGGCATTACACAAGCACTTAACCTCTCTGGGCCTCATTATTCCCAACTGTAAAATGCAATGGCTACTTCATATATTTGTTTTGAGTACTCAGTGAGTTAATACACGAAAGCTTTCAGAATCATGTCTGGCATAAACTAGACACTTAATATTTAAAGTGGTTGGATGGATGAATGCCCAATGTATTCCTGAGGGTAGGAATGGAGACACGTCAGAGATGATCAATCAGCTCCAGAGTAAATATTTCAGATAAAGGGATGGATCCTTCCCACGGATGCTCAGCTCCTTCCAGCTTACATCCATTTGTTCAGGGCTTGGAGAAGGCATGTTTCTGTACACTACAGTCATTCAAATCATTACAGGGGTCTTATTTCCCCCCAGATCTTCTCTTTGCCCAGGATGTTAGGTTGAGTTCTCTAAAGAAGTCAAGGCAGTGAAGGTGTATGTGTCTGTACATAGAAAGAGATTTATATCAAGAAATGACTGACACCATTATAGAAATGGGTGAAGGGGCAGTCTGGCTCAAGCCAGGCTTTTCCTGACAAGCAGGAAGCAGCATGACAAGCAGAGGCAGGGGGGCACCAAGTGGTGGATGCAGGGGCATACAAATGTGAAGTCAGAAGAATGGGCCCACCAGCAGAAGTCTGCAGATGGTTCCTGGGGTCAGCAGGAAATGAAACAGGTGATCGAAGAACTGGATGCAAGATCCAGAGCTGGCAGGTGACAAAGGGACAAGTAGGACTCAACTCTGCTTGGTGTCTTACACCAAAAGGCTTATGACATCAAGGAGGTCAGTTGAGAGGTTGGGCTCTGCCTCTACCTTACCCAGGAGTATCTAGTTGACATGATCCCTTGCCAGCACACCCTGCTAGGACAGCCCAATTCCTTCAGCTGTGCTTCCATGGTGCGGTTTCAGGTCCCTTCACCATCATGAAAACGCAAGTGAATTCCAAATGCATCCCATAGTCTTTCTATCTTAGAGTTGTATCGTAAACAGCAGTGGAGGTGGACAGGTCCAACCTTCTCTGGCTTCCCTACCGCCACATGCCTCCACACTCCACCCCCAGTTCTACCTATGCTGACACTATCCGTTCCTCTGCTGCACTCGGCTTCTCTGCTGGGTTTGATAACGCATGGCAACGGCCACACAGAACTCACAAGCAATACTCACCACTAAGGGGGTTTACTAGGGAGGTTCATTGGTTATCACCACTCAGGATCAGCAAACTGACGCATGGCAACGGCCACACAGAACTCACAAGCAATACTCACCACTAAGGGGGTTTACTAGGGAGGTTCATTGGTTATCACCACTCAGGATCAGCAAACTGTAAGGGTACCGTCATTGGTCCACTGCAACACCTCCTCTCAGCCAGCAGCCAAGTGTCTCTCTGGTCCTCAGCCTCCCAAATCCCTTGCCTTTTGGGTCCATGGGCCAGGAAGGCAGCCCCCTGTCCCTCTGTCTCACAGTCCCATGGCCCCAGGCCAGATGAGAAGGTTCCCACATTCTCAGTCCTTTTCCTCAGAGTCTCTGTGCATTTGATCTCTGTAGCCCAAGATCTTGGGCGTGTCCTTCCAATTGGTCCTGGGCTTCCTCGCTGCTGCTGTTGCTGCTGCTGCTTCCAAGGTGGCAACAAAAACTGACCAATCCCTTCTCTGCGTCTTACACACGTCCCATTTGCATAGCCCTACTATTAGGTGGGAGTTAGGGAGTTAGTTACAAAGAATAGAGTAAAAGAGCCTCAGTAAGAAATTTCATTCCACCATAAAAAAAAGTGTCTTATTTGAGTCCAACTCTATAAGGCATCTATTTCTCTGTCTTGGCTGTGTGTCTTCTCAGGGACATCATATACAGTTAAATCTAATACGGACAGCAAATACAGAACTACTTCCTCTGAGCCTAACCATCAGACCTAAGTCAGCTCTCATTCAGTGGCCACATTCTCCAGACTTCCAAGTCTGCCCAGGACTCAAGATGCCAGCCGCAAGCTTGGGGCCCTCATGGTATCCTTGTTTCACCTGCTAGCTCAAAAAATACACCAAAAAACTGCTAAGAGAATAATAAAACCTACCGTCGTTGATTCTGATTCGTGGTCACCTATGGGGCAGAATGGAATTGCCACACAGGGCTTCTAAAGCTATAATCTTTACGGAAAGGCATTGCCACATCCCATTCTGCACCCCCCCACGGAGCAGCTGCTAGGTTGAACTGCAGCCCAATGCTGTAACCTCCGTGCCACCAGGATTAGTCTCAGAAACCCAATTCCTAAAACACTGCTATCAAGTCGATTACGACTGTACATCTTTTTTGATAGCCTCGTTTTCCTTCCGAGCAGCAGCTGGTGGCTTTGAACCCAGGACTCTGTTGACCAGGCAGCGTGTCACCAGGACCCGTTCAGAGACCGTATGGGGCAGTTCTGCTCCATAGGGTGGGTCACTGGGATTCGGAATTGACTTGACGGCAGTGAGTGCGATGTTTAGGTTGATAACATGCTTTGTCAGGAACCCCATAATAGAGAGGTTAACTTGCCAAAGGCCACATTCTAAGTGTGGGATGGGTTGCTGGCGAGCCTCCAGACCCGAGGTAGGAGGCACTTTCCTGCCAAATCGTCCCTCTCCCTCCCGTACACCCCCCCTCCCCGCCCCCTTCCACTCTGGCTTCCAAACCAAAATCCAAACCCACTACTATCAGTCAGGCTGACTGGTAGCAACCCTGTAAGACTGGGTAGAACTGCCCAAGTGGGTTTCCAAGACTGTAACTATTTACATGAACAGAAGGCCCCGGCTGTCTCCCGCGGAGCGGCTGGTGGTTTCAAACTGTTGACCTTGAAGTTGGCAGCCTAACGCGTCACCACTACACCATCGCTCCCGCTCAGCTCCGTCCAGCACGCTCCCTCCTTCCCTCTGGCTGTCGGCTGCCCAGGCCAGACAGTGAGCTCCTCGCAAGCGCGGCGTCGGCCTGGTACCCCAACAGCAGCGGCTAGCGCCACGCCTGTGAACCTGCCACCCCGAAACGAGGACGCGAGCCAAGCCAGAGGCGTTCGGGTGGGGCTCCCTGCTCGGACTCCCTAACAGATTCTGGCGGAGGGGCTGCGGGGCTGAGGGCGCCCAAACTTACCAGGCACTTGAGGCAACTTTGAGGTAACCTTGTTAGCCAAAGCCCTGCGTTTACTGCGGTTACCACGGCAACGCCAAGGAAGGCGGAGCCGCCCGTCGTCCCCGCCCACAGGTCTGAGGCGCGCATGCGCAGCTAGCCCGGGCTTGCGGTCGCGTCCCGGCCGGCTCCGAAGCCCCGCCCCGCCCCGCCCCGCCCCCTGGGTGGAGCCGTGGGTTAAGCTTCCGGCTGCTAACTCCCTGCTGGAAGGATCAAACGCACCCGCTGCTCCTGGTAGAAAGATCGACAATATCGGGACCCCTAAGGAGCCTGCGTTCGATTCTGGCCTATCCAAAACCCCAACCAAACTCACTGCCGTGGAGTCGACTCAGAAGGACGCTCTGGGACAGGACAGGGCTGCCCCTGCGGAGCGCCTGCTGATTTCGAACCGCCGACTTTGCAGTTAGCAGCCTAACGCATAACCACTGCACCACCAGCGCTCCTGCCGTGGCTATCTGTAGGGCTGATGAAATTCAGAATTGATGGTGGCCGTGGGTGGTTTATCCTGCTTCAGAAACCAAACAGAAAAACCTAGCATTCTATCATATCATTTAAGGTAGTGAATGGCTCTTGAATACACTTTCGAAGAATAAGTGTTCTGGGCAATGGCAGGCAGGCAACTTGAACAGCGAGGAGGCATCGCTTTGTTTTGTGAAGAGTCGGGGAAGATTTCCTGTGATGGTGCACTGGTCACAGGACACCGGGAACATGCACAATGTATCTGCAGAGCTCTGCGCACTTCCACGTTAGATTTGTTCTTCAAATGACCACCCTGGGGCAGTCCTCATACGGTGCTTTGTTTGTAGGTCTCTTCATGCTGTTTGTGGGTATGCATTGGGCAGAGATTGGCAAGGTCAATACTTCCAAACCACCAAACCGCTCCACGGGAGACAGCCAGGGCCCGTAAACAGTTATACCCTTGAAGCTCACAGGAGCAGTTCTACCCTGTAGGTGCAACAGGGTCGCTAGGTTTGACCAGTCACTGCTTTGGTTTGAATGCTGCTTACAAAATATCATTTGAAAATGACTGCAACATCACAATGCTCTCTGTATGCTGTATCCAGAATCTATAATAAAACACTCTTAACAATTCACTGAGACTAACAACCTAGTTCTTTAAATGGACAAACTATTTGAACAGTTCAGAGGATAAATGGCCAATAAGCACATGAAAGCATGTTCAGCAGCATGATTCATCAGGGAAAGACAGATAAATGCACGGATGCTGGAACTGATGAAAATAAAGACTGGCAACGTCAAATGTGGCGCAGATGGGACTCTTCACAGTCACCGTCTATGGAAAATGGCACCACCACTTTGGGAAGCCAGCCTTTTCTTCAAAGTTAAACCTATTCCAAAGCATGCCATCTCCAAAATCCATCCACAGGAAACCTTGTGCATAGCAACTTCACTTCCAACCTGGAATGGACCCCAGTGCATATTGACAGCTGACTGAATACTCATACAACGCAATGGAACTGACAGAGAACGTAAGTGAGCCTCAATCATCCTAGTGAGGGAGAGAAGCGCATGTGTTGCTCCGTGGCGATGAAATGTAAACCCATCTACAGTGACAAGAAGCAGATGAGTGGTTGCCTAGGATTCCGGGCAAAGAGGGACTACACTACAAAGCTGCAGGAGGACTTGGGCAGAGATGACAGAATGTTTCTGTGTTTTGATGACAGTGGTAGTTTTATGGGTATACACACCTGGAAAAACTCATGAATTCACACCCTTTAGATGGATGTAGTTTATTTTACGTGAATTATTTCTCAATAAAGTTGATGAGGAAAATGGCTACAATGTTTTACTGGTTTCTAGAATCTTATATAATAATATTCCCCAAACTGTATACCATTTGTTAGTACATGAATACTTTCTTTTACAGGGAAAGCTAGTTCCTATGACGTAAAGATTCTAAATGTCCCAAATGAACAGCTCTTCGACATTCATTAGCAGCAACATCAACTGTACATTCTCCCCTCAGTGCTCTCCCTCCAGTCTCTGGGTTCCAAATCTCACTGCAGCATCGCACAGAGCTCACCAAAGTCACGGAAATGACTCTCATAGTTGTGGAAGCTGGCAAACTTATTTGCATTAGTAGCAAGCTATCAATCTGCTTTCTGTGCATAGTCCAATCCAATGATATGTGAATCACAAAGACTATAGTGGGCAAGGCCATTTTAAGTAATTCACTGCATCCCAGTTGATGCTGACATGTTCTTTCATGTATTCTCTATGACTAAGACAACCAAGTCCATCGTCCTTGCTATAAATTATATGATATAACCAGTGTCTGAAAAAAAACCAAACAGAAACCTAGGAGAAACATTTTAAACAGCAATGTGAGTTGTATCTTCAAGTAATATACTCAATGTTTCTTTTCAACTTCCAAAAATCTTTTACCTGTGAAATACAGCTAGTTGGGTTATAAATGAACTCACTTCCAAAGTGTGTCTTCAAGTCAAATTTGCAGGTCCTCAAGGTGCATACAGTTCTTAACCACTGTGCCCCAGGCACTTACAAGGAAGCTACATTATTTCTGACTCGGAATGGTAAAGTAATTTTCCTGAAGTACACACACGGTCAGTGGTAGAGCTGGGCTTTGAGTCCAAGCTTCTGGGCTGCAGTATCTGTACTCCTAACCTTTGGGCTTTATTGGTTAATTCTCAAACAGAGGAAGTTCAAGGCTTCTAAATCTGAGCTTTCAGTTCTGGTAGTTTCCTCATCTGAAAAATAAAGATAGCACCTCTCTCTGAAGGACGTAATAAAGCCACATAAATTGCCTATGACAGTGCCTGGCACTTAGTAGACATGATATTACTAAATTCTGTTAATCAAATGATTCTACTATAAAAATTAAAACGAAAAGCTCACTCACTGCCAGCAAGTCAATTCTGACTCAGGACGACCTGTAGGACAGGGCAGAACTGCCCCTGTGGGTTGAGACTGTAACTCTTCACGGGATTAGAAGTCTCGCCTATCTCTCGGGAGTGGCTGGCGATTTTGAACCACTGACCTCAAGGTTAGCAGCCCAATGTAACCACACCACCATGGGTCCTATGGTATGCTTCGGGGCACATGTGGGAGAAATCATGTGGTATCTGGAGACTTGAGGTGAAACACGAGGAATCTGTTTGAATTGCTAGAACGAAACATTTTGAAAGGAGTGCACCAGACTGGCATAAGCAGACAGCCCCTCTGCAAGCCTACAGATGAAGGGTTTTCAACCTGGAGGGCTTCTTATACCCGGCAACAGGGACTCTGATGAAACAGGTCTGGGTAGGCTCCAAGAGTTGGCTTAACAAGTACTCTATGTGATACTGATGCTACAGATCAGGGCTCACACTTTGAGACCCTCTGATAGACTGAGGCTCCAAAGTAGCACAACAGTTAATGCATCCCAAATGTGCATCAATGAAGGCTTTATGTAGGCAGTAAGTACCTTTAAAAATAGTATTTGCCAAGCACAGCTGGGTACTGGAGTCATCTGAGTTCTGAAAAATACTGATGTACATCTTGCCCCCCAGAGATACTAATGTAATTGGTCTATGGTGAAACCTGAGCACTGAGAATTTTTAAATCCCCAATGGTTCTAATGGTAGCCAAGTGTGGTAGTTACCTTACCTTATGTCAACTTGTGGCTATTGAATGGAAGGGGTGGAGTTTAGCCTGTTAATCAGATCACAAGGTAACACCCACCAGGAGGATTCTGGGAACTTCCTCTGTGGTCAAGCTACATGAAGCCACTTTGATGGCAGCCAGAGCCCTGGAGCTGGAGGAGCCACAAGGAGAGCCACACCAGTACAGAGATGTTTCCACACTTTTCACCCACTGGCCCATGATCTTCCTGCTTTCAGCATCATTGCATGTGCTGCGGGGTTCTGAGATAGAATTTATGGACTAATCTTGGACCTATGGGCTAATATCAGACTTATGGGCTTGATCTGGACTAGGCCGGGGTGTTTTCTTAATATACGATTACTCTTGGATATAAAACACTCACACACACACACACACACACAGTGTCTCTGAATTTGTTTCTTTACAACCCAGACTAACACATCAAAGTTGAGAGGAACTGCTTGAAAGGCCTGAGAAAGAAAAGGCACTTTTCTGCTACTCATTTGTATTCTTGTAGTTGTTTCTGCTTTTGTATTATATTAGCAAACATGAACATTTACAGGATGAATACTTAAATATTAGTGTTGCCAGACACACCTGTGGGTCTTTTTCCAACTGAAAGAAAGTGGACACTGCATGCAAAAGAAATAGAAGGGGCTTTTATTATCTCCACAGATAAGTAATAGTGTGTGGGGTCTTATGACCAGAACAGCACATGGTCCTCAAACTGGGGCACTGGTCCTTTATCACTTCAGACTTCAGGGATTCTAGCTCCTTCCAGCCCCTCCCCACCTCCTAACCATCAGTGGAGATCCGGTTGGTGAGTCCTGCTCTCCCCAATCATCTCTAGATGGACCTCTTGGATGCAGACCGGTGGGTCAGGCAATGTGGCTCCTTCCCTGACTTCCCTTGGGTCAGGAACAAACTGAAGGATACCCAGGTATGTACTGGGCAGACTCTCAGCCAGCCTTAACAAGCCAGTCTGGGGCCATCCTCAGCAGAAAGTTCTAGGGACGGAAAGCTGAACCTGATAATAATATGAGTGTGTAACACATAAGATAATATATATCTTCAGATAATATGAGTGTGTAACAGAGTCTCAAAGAGGATGTGTGTGTGTGTGTATGTGTGTGTGTGAGAGAGGGGGAATGGGTCATAGACAAGGGAGTATGGGGCTCAAGCTTGCAATAGTCTAGAGACAGTCAGTGAGTTAGTGGTAAAAGTTTTCTGCACAGGTGTTTCACCCTGCTGCATATTAGAATCAGCCTGGACCTTCCAGATAGTCAGTTTGGTATTTTTTAAAATGCTCCCCAAGTGAGAATAATAGCTTCTGAAGACTAAAATAAAGAGGGGGCAAAACATAAAGGAGAACATGAAAGACAAAGCATGTGAAAACCAGGTGGGTAGCTGGACATTTCAGTGACAGGAGCAGAGAGTCAGTGCCAGAATGGGTTCCGTCCCAGGCGGGGATTGTATTTATTAAGTACAAAGATTCAAAAAGGGAAGTACAGTGGGGACATGATGCAATAATGTAAATGAATACAGATGATCTCATACACACACCCAACCACGTATGTGGCAACAGAAGAAAATCATTTCCATCTCGGCCAGCACTATAATGAAGTTGCATCCGGCCTTTCCTAGGGCACTGATTTCAAGTGGAAGGGAAGGACGGGGGTTGCTGGCCACAGTCCCCAAATGGTTCCAATGCATGTCTCAGCCCACATGGGCACTGGACTCCATACGCTGGCTGCCATCGAGCCATTCTGACTCTGAGCAAAACAGACATCATCCAAAACACAAGCTAATGTAAAAGCCAATGCCCGAGAGTTACGCAGATTTCTTGAAGAAAGGTCAGGGCTGAGAAAATGGTTATTAACTTATTGTACTCAATTCGGTTTCAAACACTAAATATACTATAAAAATAGCCTTACTGCCCGTGTAATGCTGTGAATTTCTATTGTTATTTTAATACTTTAAAACCACGTAAGAATCTTAGATGTTTAAATAAAAAAAATTTAAAAAAGAATCTTACATGCTACACAACCACTTCTGAAGCATATGAAAACACTTCCATGCCAATTTTTTAAAGGTATTCACTCCACTTCCTGGAAAAACGGACAAAAAGCAATGCTTTCTCACCAAAGTAGAAACCAAAAGAGGATACTTCATTTTTCTGAAGGCTATACTAATCACCCAGAGGCATTTTCCTATGAGTTTTATGCAAAGCAACTCAATTCTTCTGGGGGAAAAAACAAGTCAATGTTTCAGACAAATTACATACACAAAAACAAAACAAAACCCCGAATTAAGATGAAAATGCTAAACATGTATTATGCAAACAAAATACCTATGCATTATTAAAATAAAGAATTCTAAACTTTCTACAATCAAAATTTTATTCACAGAGAATTTGGAGGTAAGTTGGTTATTGAAACCTATTTGAAAAGGCCAACAACTTTTTTATAAAAAATCCTTTATTTCTTTGCTCCATTAGTATGAATTTGTAAGACCTTTGCAGGTTTATCTGAAAGAACACTAAAAACTTGAAAGCAGGGGCAGAGGAACGGGAGTCCACGTTCAAAAATAAACTACTGAAAACAAACAGGGTGACTTCACTTATGACACATGGGTAGAAAGGGCAAACCATCCTCCTTCATTTTGTTTCTCCATCTGTTGAACAAAGATGTAGAAAGAATTTAGAAAGTAGCCAGACTTAGCTTAGAATCGTATTAGACCTCGCCCGCCCTCAATTGAGAAATCATTTACAGCACAGGTTCCCAAACGTATCAGGTCCACCACAGCTTTTCACAGAAAAAACAAACAAACAAAAACATACTCAGCACCCCAAGGCAATGAAAAACATTTGTCCTATAGCCCATGTCCCAGGATAAAACACAGGCATCCGATTTCGCAGGTTCCCTGGATGGCGCCTGTGTCCCAGGGGGCAGTATTACCCACGTTGGGAAACAGATTTAGAGCAATTACGTACACGAGATCAAGTTTCCTATATGCTTGACGTATATTTAAAAATTAAATTGCTAATGTAAATGTTTACTATCTAAGAGAGATTCTCCAAAAGAATTAAATTCAGGGCAAATATAATCCTTTCTTGATTTAAGAGTCTTAATTAAAAAAAACAAAACCTAATACAGCATTTTAAATGACATAAAGGAAATTATCTGATTCTAGCGAATGAAATTTAGTACTAATTTCCAGGAATCAAAGATAAATTATATAGAATAGCTTGCTTTCAAACTGAAAAAAAAAAAAAAAAACATGAAAAAGCAAAGGACAAATCTGCCTTGGGTAATGCGAGGTGCATGCTAACCAATTAACCCGGACTACAAATGCTCCACCTTTACTGAAACACCTGCTATTTGGTCTAATTACTAAAGTTATTACAAAGAGGATCCCACTGTTTTAGATAGTTGTTGCCTCAAGTGTGCAAATATTGTTTATAATTTTAAAGATCATTCATAATTTATTGACCAAACATTAAAGAAAATACATTTTACTGTGTTAAACAGTGAAAAATGTTTTCAGCCAAACTTTGGGTACATTAAAAGATGCTTGGCTTATATACATTCCTATAGCAAGCCCAAACCTAAAGACTATGTAAGCGATTCATTAACCCTGTCTGCCACAACCTCCCTGAGCAGGGCACACTTCGATGACCACGGCACACTGACATAACGTGCGGAAACATGGCCCCCAGGCACACCCCAGAGAAGGCACAGAGGAAGAATGGAAATCACAACAGCACCTGCCATCCTTCCCCTGGCTCCACCCAATTCATGATGGTATTTCATGTACCTTTGCTCGTGGATTAAGAGACGCAAATCGGCCGCTTCCTGAAGTGGTATCTAATGGAGAACAGGAATTACTAGCGGCCCCTGAAGATCTATTTGTGAAAAATAGAGAACAAACAAGCAAGCTATCATTATTAATCTTTAAACAGTTTTATAACCTAGAAAGCTCACTACATACATTATTACACTTACTGGCTTTTTTGCTTTTCTTTGAGGGGGGGGACCCAACCTGTGCTCTTTTACTTAATGAAGGATGTTCCTTGCCTCCCCCATGCACCCTTCCCCAAACTCTCCTTCCCAATTACTTTCTTGTCTCTACCTGAATGAGTCTATCTGAACCTAATCAGATATTATTTACTGCCTTTTGATATCTGATTTTAAAAAATCCAAACTCACTGCCATCGAGTCGACTCCGACTCATCGTGACCCTACAGGGCAGGGGAGAATTGCCCCTGTGGGTTTCTAAGACTAATTCTGTACAGGAGTACAAAGCAAACAGTGATTTCAAACTGCTATCCTTGCAGGTAGTAGCCCAATGTGTAACCACTATGACGCCAGGGCTCCTGAAATGGTAATAAAGCACATACTATACTCTTGAATTTTTTTAAAAGTAACTGTTCACACTGTCACTTTACCTTCTTGTGTTTATCCCACTGGTAGGTGAGACAGTACTGCATTTCGAGCTTTCTGGGACTTCTGCTGCAGGAACAGATACCTCAATAGTCCTCTTCCCTCCCTCTAAAACACACAGATAAGAGAAACACAGTGGGTGGCTCTGTCTAGATCAGTGGTTCTCGACCCTTTAATACAGTTCATGTTGTGGTGACCCCCAACAATAAAATTATTTTGGTTGCTACTTCGTAACTGTAATTTTGCTACTGTTGTGAATCAGGTGACCCCTGTGAAGGGGTCGCGACCCACGGGTTGAGAACCGCTAGTCTTTATCTTCATCGTTACAGCCCGCAGTCACACTTTTAAATGAAGTATTTTCTTTTAAGTGGATTGAGACAGACATTAATTACTATTGTCCATCCAGTAGGATACCAGACAAGCATCTTCAGATAGAATCCTCGTGAAGACAAGGATCATGTGAGTTGCAGTGACTGATCTAGCTTATTTTCACCTAACATCACTAAGACTTCATAACGAGGAAGAATAATCCCCATCATGTGAAGAAACTTAGAATAAATTAAGACAAAGGGTTCTGGGGAAACATATCACCCATGATTTCCCAGTACTTTCCATAATAGCCTGCTTTCTGGATCTTCAAAATGAAAAAAACAAAACAAAAAAAAACAAGGTAAATAAAAAAGACGCCTCAAAGACAATGCACTTCAACCAGCAAGGGACCGTGTGAAACCCTCTGGGACACTAGCAGCCCCTGTGCTTAAACACCTGGGGAAAGACACTACTGACGCCGGCAGAGCCTTTTCTAATTCTCATGATCAGAACCTTCTCTTAAACTGGGCCCAAGCCAGTCACTCTAAAGCCTCCACATAACTCTATCCATGGGAAGCCCAATAATTTACTCCTTGGCTACAAACCAACTTATCCAGTTCATAAGTCCTTTCTTGAATGCAAATGCTATAATAAGCAATTTTCCAGTTACTCATTCCTTCTAGTGTTCCACATTCCCAAATGTAACACTAGGATATAAAGCTTAATCGACAAATAAAAATGTTTTAGTGGCTTTAACAGTAATAACTTGTTGTTTGCTGCTGATAAAATCCTAAGCTGTCAGTCGGAGGCTTACATTTGAGATATTAGTGACAGCATATGTCAGAAATGAAGTCATGTACTCTAATAAATCTCATCTACGTGTAGGACAATGTGGGAGCCCACACACTGGTGACCAGCGTCGGCACCATGAGATAGAAAGATTACAACACTAAGACTCCGGAGGCCCGCCTGCTAGTCCCACTCCTCACTCACTTGCTGTGGCCTAGGTCTGCGTCTTCGTGGGCAGTCGAAGGCATTGGCACATACCCTGAGATTTCTCTTAGTGTGAACTTATAAAGGCAAATGGAGATATTCATGTTTCTAGTTTTTAAATCATCTATGACCAACCAGTCCATGCTTTGAGAGGTGACGGAACAGGCGACACTGTTGGAGAAGCAGTATTCCCGTAGATAAGCTTCTGCTGTTCTATCAACTGCAGGAGCTTTTCACGAGCCTCCATACTCTGTCGATTCAGCTCTGCGATGCGCTCCTCCATGCTACTTGATAGAGGTTGTGCAGCTGGAAAAGTCTTTAAACACACACACACACACAGAAATGCAAATTCAGAAGAGAAAAACACAAAACCTTTTTGATATTTGGTAAAAATAAGTTCTTCCATATACGTGCCAGCAAGTTAGTATTCATAGCCCTTGCTATGGGCAAACTTGAATAGGGGGAAATAATTTCTAAATCATTTATTTGAAAGATTAGTGCTAAAGTAAAGGGAAACTAATCCCTTACTATAGGTACCATATAAACCCTTCTATTATTTCCTAGTGTTTTGATGAGATGCACAAAATATCACACAAACAAAGATATAACTCCCAGTAACCTGCCCTAGTAGTATGCTATTAGTTGTAATAAATCTACTAGTTGTAAATCTAAGTTTAATTACAATATATAAAATAAAAGAGGATCTGGTAAGAGTTTTAACAGAAATGTCTATACTCTTCACACATACACCGAGTTACTTGGCAAATATTTCTAATGGTCATATCGTTTCTTCTGACCACATGACAGCCTGCCCAGGCTACTTTTGGACCAAGACACCCAGCAGTAATAGTTCATGGTAGGAAGGAGAGAAGAGTAAAATACAGCCATTCAAGAACTGTCACATACATGTAAATTGAAAATTCCCCTAAGGAATGTACTTATATCATTACTAATTATTTCAGTTAGCTAAATATGTCCTTCGGGAGGTAGGTGGTGGGGAAGAGGAAGAAACCAGGCCCTCATAGAAATCACTAATTTGGAGTTTATGCCCATTAGTAATACACACACGTAAAATGAAGAATCATCTTGAATTTCCAATTATAACAAAAAAGCAGTGGTGAGGGCAACAATTTTATTTTATTCTCTCCCTCTCTAGGCAGATCTACAAATAAATAAGGATGCAAACTCAGTACTTAACTCTGTTGCCCTCTTCCAAAAAAAGGTTAACGTTTTCAAATAACCTTTAAAATCTGCAAGCATCAAAAATGTCTCCCAATGATTCCAAGTTAAGGCAATTGCTACTTACACCTGACATGACAGTGGTCTATTCCCAGCAGCGCTGTTGACACCCCTTCTACCAGTCCCCCGTGACTATGAACTTGGGGATCCACACCTCCCTTATTTCCCATGACCCATCACTGCTAGGTGGTCCCTAGACCTCCTCCTCCCCCAAGCTTCCTCACTACAGTACAGATCCACTGTTTTAAAGTCTTTTTTAAAGTAATTACCTCAGGGTACCTAGTTCCCATGAAACTGTTTAGCTTCTCAGGGCTAAAACAGTGTTCCTGATCTCATATCAGAACCCTGACAGGTGCTGTCTTACCTCAAAGGAAGTCTCTTTCATCACTGGGGCCAGTCTAGCAAGAGGAGGTATGCTACAAACATCCCCCAGTTGGAACTCAGAATCTCTTTTCTTCCCATAATGAAACGGAGAAGGTTAAGTTACCTGGTTAGTCCATAAGGTTTACTTAATTTACAAAATTCCTGTTCGGTAACATGTAGACCTTTGCTACTTAAAAGTGTAATTCTCACATCATCAGCACTAACGTTAATTGAGAACTTCATAGAAATACCCAGGCCTAGCCCAGACATACTCGGTCAGAGACTGCAATTTAGCAAGCTCCCCACATAATCAGATACATTAAAGCCCGACTTTAACAATCTTAAGACACCATTTCTATGAGAAAAAAATATCCCAAAGTTCTAAAAATTGGGATTTGGGATCTTCAGGAATTGAAGGTCAACTATAAATAGCTTTCTTTTATGAGCCCCTTAAAGAGTAAAATGGCTTTCCATTCAAACGTAAGCATGTGACAATCTTTCAAGCTATATTATTTCTACACTTTGTTTAAAACACCATGCTTATCTTAATCTTAATTTACCTCCATATTTTCTTTGCCCTATTTTCCTCATTTATTTATCTTTACTTCATATTGCCTTGCTTTCCTTTCTGTTCAGTCCATCCTGATAAAAACTACTATTTATTTTGCAGTGGGTATGTCAAAGCCTGAGCTACCCAGGTACTGTCTTAAAGATACTGAGGACCACTTCTGATGCCGGCTGACATCATGAAATCCCCATTTATTCAAAGTCCATCCTTAATGATACTCACAGCAGCCACGTCGCTCGCACTTTCCTGTCTGCTTAACTCCCGAGGTCCATCTCCTTGCTCGCCCCCTGGGCCAATAATATTATTCAGATGTGCCTTGATAGCGGAATTCTGCAGGGTCAACTCAGCAATCCGTGTCATTATGTCCTTTCTTTGTACGAGGGCCTCCTTTGTCCTAAGCTGTTGCCCATCTCCCAATACAGAAGGCTCGTCTGAGAACAGGGGGTTTCTAGCCTGCCGAGGGTCTGGGTGGGAACTGCAGAGGGGCTGTGTTAAGTTGACAAATGGAGCCTGGTTCTTATTCTCCAAATCTTCCCCCATGTGGGAAACCCTCCACCTCTGAGTGAAGAGACGGTTCTCCTCATTTGAATTCTGGATGTCTGTGCCCAGAGGTAAGGTCTTCTTTTCCCAACTTTGCTCCTTCTCAATGATTTCCACAGTTGCAGGAATGCGTGGAGCAGGGCGGGTTTGGACAGTTCTCCTTAATACTGCGGATGACAATTGAGGATTAATAAGTATGTATTATTTGGCCATAGATTGGCAGTATAATTGCTTCATAAGCCCATCAAAGTTAAATTAGCGAAATGTATATATTTTAATTGTAGTGTTTATTAGGAAACTTAGTAGGTTACAGAATGAAAAGGATACATGGTCCTTTTGCCCACAATGCATTTTCTCAGGCATGCTGGCAGATACAACCAAGTATTTCGATGAAAGGACTTAGCCTCACAATATTTCAAAGTATTTTCATCAGAGCATAGGGCAGAAACACCATCCTTAATTACCAAGCACATGTACTTTTTACATCCCTTAAAGCATTTGTCAGTATTCGTGTGAAGGGGAGCTTTCAGGTTCCCATTTTAACACATACATTAACTGCTATCTGACTGTCCCATAGTGCGCGTCTCAGTATCTCAAGGTCTCTCCGAGGAAGTAGTTTTTAAATACTTATTCTTATGGCAGAAAGTAGAGCAAGAAGTATTACAGGCAGAGAGAACGGATATGAAGGCTCTGAAGTAGGGAAAAGCCCAAGAAAAAGAGGAGGCCAGTGCAGCTGCAGGGATAGTCTCCGGAGCGCAGAATTAGAAAGCACCGAGTTGGACAGGCAGGGGAGGGGTGGTTCTTGATAACCCTTTTGGCATGTTAGCGATTTTATAATTGAATCTAAGAGCAATGGAAATCCACAGAAGGTTTTGTGACAATCTCATTGACACTTAAAAAAATCACTCTGGCTATGGCGAGTGGAAGTTGCAGGAGTGGAAACAGAGAGACCAGTAAAAAATGGCATAGCCTAAGAGAAAAAGTAGCTTTGACTAAGAAACGTTGTTGAGAGAGAGAGAGAGAGAGAGAGAGAGAGAGAGAGAGAAGTGAAGTAACAGATTCCAGGCACATTTTGCACTAGAATTAAGAGTGATGGGCTGGAACTGGGTGACAGGGACTATAAGATGGCATGCAAACCCCAGTGGACAGAAATGCTATTTACTGAGATGGAGCAGACAAGAAAAATGACAAACTGGTGGGCAGAGAGGTTATCAAGAATTCTGCAAATATGCCCAGTTTAAATGCCTAAGGATTCATCTCTATATTACTCCAAGTGCAGAGTAACTCAAGCAGATGAATATGTAGGTCAGAAATGCAAAACAGATATTTGGGCTAAGATAGAAAACTAGCAGTCACCAGCACATGGAAGGTACTGTGAAAACAAATGCTATTACCTGGAGAGAAAGAGTAAACTCAAAACCCAAACTCGGTGCTATTGAGTTGATTCCAACTCATAGTGGTGCTGCAGGACAGGCTGGGGCTGCCCCTTTGCGTTTCCGAGACTTTAAATCTTTCTAGAAGTGACAGTCACAATACGTGGGCCATAATGCCCCCAGGGCTCCCTGGCACACAGAGAACGGTGAGAAAAGGACAGAAACCGGTACCAAGACTTGAGGAACTCAGCATGAATTAGTGGGTTCAGGAGGAAAAACTCGAAAAGTTGACTGAAATGGCACAGCCAGGGATACATGAGAAATGACGAACAAAAGTGATGCTGAGCTGCCCCTGTGAGTTTCTGAGACTCTAAGGTACAGGAGTAGGAAGCCCGTCTTTCTCCCAAGGAGCTGCTGGTGGTTTCTACTGCCCACCTTACCGATGGCAGTCCACTATGCTCCTCTAAGAAAAAAATACTTAGTAGTAACAGGGAGGTCATTGGTGCTCTTTAGGTGGAATTACAGAGTGACATGGGAAGGTAGATGCTTTAGTGCAAGACAGCAAGACAGGCCAAAGCGGAAACCTCTCACCCTCAGCCTAACACTGTCTCTACTGCCACACTGCTCTGAGAAGTTGGCGTTGCATTAGAATGCCAAAATAAACTTTAAGATAGCCTCCTCAAGACCTCAAGGTAAATGTACACCAATGTGCAGATAATCTAACAAAATGTGTACAAGCGACAACAAAAGTTTTGGGGTGTTTCTTTTTCCTGTTCCCCTCGAAAAAAGCATATAACAATTCTTTAAAGAAATAAAGTTTCAGGCAAATCAAGGCTGAATAATATATATATTTTTTTAATTTGGGGAGGAGGCTCTAAGACAGTGGTTCTTAGCTTTTTAAGTTGAAGGACTCTGGAAAATCATCTGAGAGGTCTAGCTCCAGGAAAATGCACATGCGGACAAGTAAACATAAAATTTCAATCAGTGAAGCAGTCCCTGGACCATATGTTGAGCTAAAGAGTAACAATAAAATGTTAACAATTTATTCAAAACGCTACACTGTACAGCAAGTGAACCTACAGCTATTTTTAATTATCCATAGCCTCTAATTATACAGTTCCCTAAAGAGTTTAATAGGATGACCAGATTGGACTGATGGAATCCTCAATGGCAAAGTTCTCACCTTGCCTTTCCGAGGTTAAGCTTCCGTTCCTCTCTGAAGTAGAATACTCTCGTTTCTTAAACTCCCTCCCAGACCACAGAGACATGAGGGATTCCCCTTAAGAGTATAATATATAGTTGTCTAATGGGACAGGCGTAGTGAGATTAAATGTCATACTTCACAAGAGGGCCATGTGCAGAATACAGACCCTAAAAGTTCTCCTTTCAGCTTAAAGGTCATGTATGCTTAATTGTTATCTTTTAAAATTGTGTTTGTCAAGTAGCAGTGAACGCAATACATTAGATCAACCTTATACCTTTAGAGGAAGCCTGCTTACCATCCTGCAGAGGAGAGAATTCTGAGTTGTTCTTCTGCCTGGGTGGGGTTAACAGCACCGCTGGCTCATATATGTGTGCTGGGAAACTGGGTGCCAGAGGCACGCTCTCTGGTGGGTTTGGCACCTGAGAGAGTTTAACGGGCTGCTCCTCCTGTGGGTAATCCACTGCTTCTTCCCCTCTGAACATCACTGGCCTGCAAACAGTAGCATTTACTGCTGGACCCTCTGAAGAAGTTGAGAGCTGATTAGGACTTCGGAAACGAAAGGCGCCTATGGACACATTTCAGGCAGTCACACTTGCAATGCATTTCAGTGAGATCCCAAAGCCACAGAACCTCCAGGACCAGTAATTCACGTTCAAAGCTCCTGTGGGCCCAGCACTGAGAGGAAGTTGCCATCTTTGAGAAAAGCACCGAGGGCCCCCAAACCCTAAAAATCAAGGCCTCTGAAAAACCACTTGAGTCCCCTCAGGAATCTAAGTGGCACTTTAGAATTCTCCACTATTTGTTATGGATGGCGTTTGAATGGTCATGCAAATGACAAAATGCCAAGAATAGGGCATATGAACCCATTATTGCCACATGGAAGGCTCGTGCCCATGATAATTTCACAAGTCACACACCATCACAGAACAGTGAGATTCCCTATTACTTAAAAAGGTTACCTGGTTACGTGGTCCTGCTAGAACAGAAATGCAAGAGATGGCTTTAACAAAAATGCAAATTTCCTCACAGATAAGGAGAAGTCCCTGGTCTGCTCCTTGACTAAGATACCAACAGCAAGAGTCCCCCAGAAGAAGAGGGAGCATGGTGGCACACAAGGGGAGAACAAATGTCAAAGCCACATCCCCGAAAAGGAACCAACGTTGTGCATTTCCAATTCCTAGATCTTCTTCTCCGGACCCTAGGGCACCAAGACCAGCTGGGTGGCCCATGCTGCTACTGTCCATCTGCAGGTCATAGTTCAGTTATCAACCCTCTCTGAGCCTCAGTTTTCACACCCAAGCATGAGGACTATGAAATTCAAGTTGCATGTGATCCATTTACAGAGTGCCAAGCATAAACAAGCACCTAGTGAAGGTAAGCTGTAAATAGTAGTTGCAGTCGTGGTACTGTTGTACAGTAGACTATATGAAGTCAGTCAAAGAGGCTTGCTATTTACGGTTGCAGTTCTAACATGCTCAGGTTTATTCCTAAGAAAATGTGCTTACATTGTCTCTGTGATCAATGGATGGCTGCAGTCAAGTTCTCTGTGTCAGACTTCTCTGTTTCTCATTAGGAGGCTAACTTTTTTTAAAAAGGAGGTGGTAGCGATACTAAAGAGAAGCGTTGCACAAGAACTAGCTACTTCAAAGAGCTGATATTTCTCATTCTTCTAAGCACATTTGAAACTTATGAAGACAGAGCAGCATCCTTTTCCCAGCCTCCTCTTGAGCTGTCTTAGCCTTCTCTGCATCCCTTATCACAACCTGTGCTGGAAATGCAAACCCATCAGGCTCCTCCAGTAAAGTCCATGATGCCCAGAATAAGACGCCAGTCTTATTTCTCACCAGTTCCCCCAGTTTCTCCATTGTTATCGATCAGCTGGGTGGAGAAGTGGGTGTAGAGGGAGGAAGGCAGGGCAGATGGAAGAAATGAAAGCAGTTCCCTTGGCACCTCTCAACAACCTAGAAAGAGAGGGGCCATGTTGAGAGGACTTGGCTGCCTCCACTGCCCTCTCTCCAGGCCTTCCCACAGTGACCAGCCTTTTCTTTCCAAAAGAAACCTAAGATTTGTAACTTCTCCGCTCAAAACTCCAGGAGACTGGATTGCTTACAGAGCAAGGAGCATAGCCCTCAGTGGCCCGCCCTCCCCACTGGCCGCCACGTCCCTGTCCGCCTCCGCCTGTCTGTTCCCCTCTGCAGTTCCTAGACCTGGCTTTCCAGCTCTCCTCGGACTCTCAAACACTGTGTGCTGCCGGTGTCACTGTTCTGGCTCCTTCTTTTTTATTTTTGTTAAGATCTTGCCAGAAGTTGTCAGTGTGAAGTGTACTTCATCCACCCATCATGTAGCATCA